CACACACACACACACACACACACACACACACAGGCACTGTATCCCCACTACACCTGGCTACCCTTAAGGGGTATGTATTATGCATTACTACTTTGGTCCTATTTAACTTATCGAAGCCTTCCTCAAGTCTGCAGCAACAGGATGCAAATGACTAAATGAAAGGGAATTTGGTGTAAGTTTACCGCTCTTCAACTTTGTGTGTTCAAGGTGATCACCCCCCTCTTCCAGGCTCTTCTACAGCAGTTGACTTTAACACATGCAGGACTTTTCTTAAGTAGTGATTTCTTGACATGAGTTCTCCACAGAAACCAGGAAATTCACCTTATTTCACCCCAAACCCATTTTCATGGGCTTCCAAGATCTTCAGAGGCTGCTGACCATTATCACATGATGTACAGAGCCTTGCCTAGCTAGGATTCAATCACAGGAAATTCACTGTTCTTTGAAAAAGATGTCCTGTGGGCAGGGTTTGTGGCCATTTCCTTTGAGGAGCCCATTTCTCAGTTCTGTACGGACCAGCTAGTTAAAACAGAAACTTTAACTCCTTAGATTTCTGTTTGGCCTGCTCTACCTATGGAGACACTTTTTGAAAGGAACATAAATTACCCTGCTAGCTCAGAGTATCTCATTACTTGTGGGCAGATATTTTGCAAAAATTTGAAAGTCTTTTAGGTAATCAAATGAAAGTGTAACTCTTCCACTGTTTATCCCCCCAATTAACCTAAGAACAAACAGAAGACAGAATGAAAGGTCAAGATGACTCAGTCATTCTAGCCTTATTCCTTAGAGGCAGATATGGTCACTCTTGGCTCAGACTCATGATGCTGGGTTGTAGCTACTAAAGAGGTAGCCACCACAAGCCAAGCTCAGGAACTGATCTGGGCAGAGTGCTTAATCCCCAGTCTTACTGCTTGTTGTGATCCCTACCAGGAAACACGTTTGCAGGTCTTAATGAGCTAGATTCTGGATTCAGCTAGGCACAGGGCTGGTAAAGCCCCAACTGCACTTCCTTAACACTTCAGCTTGTAGGAGATTGGCCTGGTATTTCCAGATTTCACTGAACTCCAACCTGTCTGTGGGTCAGGAAGTGCTTGTACTGGAAGTTTCCCATGACTAAGAGAACTCAGTGGGACTTTTATCTCTATTTGTCAAAGGAGCAGACAGATAGGGGATGGGCCCCTTGACCTCAGATAATTACCAAGTCTTTCCTCTTCAGCAAATTTAATTCTCACATGAAGAGTAATTAACAACCTCTGATTACTCATTCTGAGAATTTCCTTTTCTTATCTTAACAGCTTTCATGGGGGTATTGAAGAATATGCTTGATAGTCATTTCTGGTTTCTTTGCATCTAAACATCTTGCATTCTTCCCATTTCTTCCCAAGTTTCCTTGAACACATTTAGCACAGTCTTGAGCTACATTCTAATCCAGTATGCCGACTCCATACCCATCTCCATCCCAATAGAAAGCAAAGCTATGCAGCAATTCCCTTAGCCATAGGACATCCCAAGATGCCTAGTGGATGTCCAAAGCCGTGGACAGCACTGAACTCTGTTTGGTATGCTTTTTCCTGTATTCACTTACCAAAATGATCAAGATTAATCTTTAAATTAAATACCGCAAGAGAGTAACAACCACAACAAAAGAGCAATTATAAAAATATGCTGTAGCAAAAAAAAAAAATTCTTAAAACTTACGAACTGCTTAGTTCCTGACTTTCCAATTTAACATCTTGGGGCTGTGGTTGATCCTGAGTAAGTGAAATGGCAGAAAGCAAACCCTTAAATAAGGGGCACTATAAACTAGACTATGGAGAGTCCTTCTCCAAATTAAGAGTGCTTAATTTGGAGAGCACTTTTGAAGAAAGTTTGTTTTGTTAATAGTAAAAATGTAGTTCCCCTCTTTGTCCCTACAAGCATTTCATTTGGGATTATAAACCAAAGTATGAAAGTATGTGTCAAAAGGCAAGCCCCAGTCCTGGAATGGGAAGAATGTTCACACAGACCACTAGAGGTTCAAAGGTACAAGAGGAAGACCCCACGCCCCTATGTGGAAAGACATCTTATTCAAATATCTCCAAGACTGAAAGAGTCTCATCACTTCTGAGGCTTTTTTTTCCCTCCAGAAGAACAGAAAGGAACTCCAAGGACAGAAGAGACTCAGAATGTGACCCAGGGGCAGGTCCTGGGTCTGTCCCCAGCGGACTATACACTCTTACGGCACCCAAGCTCTTTTCTTTAAATTGAGACATAACACTTGTACACCTTTATGGGATTCAGTATCATGATTTAATATGTATCTACAATGTGTGATGATCAAACAGGACAATAAGCATTTCCATGTCATCAAATATTAATAATTTCTGCATGCTACAGCTTCCATGTTCTTCTAGCCATTTTGAAATGCATCACAGATTGTTGCAACCCATAGTTACCCTACTGTGCTATTAGACTACCGGAATGAATTCCACCTACCTAACTGTACTTTGGTTTTCTTTAATTTGTTTCTATCACCTCTTCCTATGCTCTTTCCACCCTATAGAGATTATCTATTCTAGTACATTCTTTAATGAGACCAGATTTTTGTTTTCACATCATGTAGTGTTTATGGGTCTGGTTCTGGCTTATTTCACTTAACATAATGACCTCCAGTTCTATATGTGTTGTTACAAATGACAAAACTGCTTTTTTTCTTATGGTGAAATAATGTTCACACACACACACACACACACACACACACACACACACACACACACACACAGCACTTCACTGTGTCTCATACTTTCTCCATCCGTCCATCAACGTTCACCTTGGTTGGTTTATAGACCATTAGTATTTTCACTCACTAAGTGGTATGCACAGCATCTTTCAGTACTTTGAAAGCCAGCCAAAACAAAGAAGTTTTTTAGTCAGTTTAAGACTAATTTTGTTATGCCATGCAACCAAAATATGAGCGGCTTTCAGCAATATTGTCTAGTTATGATGGGTGGTACTCTATTTTGTTTTGGAGACTTCTGGGATCTCGCTGACCAATAACTCATAGGGAGGTATCCTGTGCCTAACACTGAGATTTTCATTTAATAACTCGTGTTTTCTGGGAGCAGGTTTGCCCACCATGAATATTTGTTATTGTTTTGTCTTTTTTTTTTTTTTAAAGATTTATTTATTTGTTATGTATACAGTGTTCTGCCTGCATGTGTCCTTGTAGGCCAGAAGAGGGCACCAGATCTCATTACAGGTGGTTGTGAGTCACCACGTGGTTGCTGGGAATTGAACTCAGGACCTCTGGAAGAGCAGTCAGTGCTCTTAACCTCTGAGCCATCTCTCCAGTTCCTATTGTTTTGTCTTTTTGATGACAGCCATTCTAACTGGAATATTATATCTCATTGTAGTTTTAAGGTGCTTTTCTTTGAAGATTAGTGGTGACTTAGCATTTATCTTTTTTTTTTTTTTTGGCCATGTATATGCCATATTTTGAGAAATGTCTATTTATATCTTTGGCTCATCTTTAATTTGTTTGTTTGTTTTAGATGTGGTCTCTCTACATAGCCCTAGCTGTCCTGGAACTCACTATCTAGATAGAGCAGACTGGTTGGCCTCTAAATCACAGAGATCTGCCTGCCTCTGACTACCAAGCACTGGGACTAAGGGCATGTGCTACCACATCCGGCTTAGTTTATTTATTTTAAAAAATCTTGTACTCTGTGTGTGTGAGTGTTTTGCCTGCATGTCTATCTGTGTCCTACTTGCGTGCCTGGTGTCCACAGATGCCAGAAGAAGTAGTCTGAGTTCCCTAGAACTAGAGTTACAGATGGGTGTGGTCAGCAATGTGGGTGCTGGGAACTGAACCTGAGTCCTCTAAAAGAGCAGTCAATGTTAACCACTGAGCCATCTTTCCAGCCCCTGTTGTTGTTGTTTCCTGTTACATTTTTAAGGTCCCTTATATGTATACTAATCCTTCACTGGATAAATAACCTGCAGATGTGTTGTCTTAATTTTGAAGATTGTTTCCTTTGTTGTGCAAAAACTTCTCATATTGGCATGATCCTGTTTGTTTTTTTATATCTGTTTTATGTCACTTTTCTAATGCTTTGAACATCAATAACCTTAAGCAAGACATTGTGATAGTATCTGACATGGATGGGTATCTTCTGTTGGCTCCTCAGTACCTACTCTACTTTTCATTCTTGTTTTATGAGCCTTGGTGTTGGCATGGATAGGTTCAGAACTCTGCAGTAGACATGCTTTCCTGTCTAGAATGGGTCAAGTTCAGTTTTGGTGTTGATTCCTAGGGTCCCAGTGG